AGTCTCAGGAGACAGAACCTGACAGTAAATAATACCACAGCTCTAACAACAAGACCTTTCTTTTTTCTTGAAAGTAAAAAGAATAACCCACTTTTCTCACTAGTCTTACAAGACACCATCATATATTGACTTTTTATATGCCAGAATGTCCTCAAAACTTAAATGTTTATTAGTTATATTAGCTCAGTTATTTGGTCATTACTTGGTAATTACTACATGAAACACAAAACTGCTTTTTCAGAGTCAGTCTTACTGGCTGTCCTGTTTCACAGGACCCACCCTCTCTTCCTGACCACTGATAAAATGTGCTTTCCAGTATTTTGCAATTTCATTCAACGACATAAGTGCAATGAAGACACCCTTATAACGTGTAAGCTCTCAGGAAGTCAATAAAAACGACAGAGAACTGCTTAAACCACAAGCCTGGCCACAGTATGGCAGGGTTAGTCCAGTTACCACAAAAGAACTGGGAAGGACAAAGGGCAACACCACATAACATGAACAGACAGCCTTATACAAAAACTGATGTACTCTAGGATTTTCCAAATACGGTTGATTTGGGAGAAGAAATCTGACACTTAGAAATTACAATCCTATGCTTCCAAATACTTTTGTCAGAAAAAAAAAAAGAAAAAATTCTGGAAGTTAACATAATTATAATCTAACTTGTTAATACACACACATACACTTTGGTAATAAGAGTAAAGCACTCCAAGTTAAGCTCTAATGAAACTAGTGAAGCTCTAATGAAAATCTAGTCTTTGGTTAAGATGGATTTAAGTGACTCTGAGTGTCACTTAAGCTAAAATGAGGATCAACTCCAATGAAGATATTTTATTTTCTTCCTTTATCTGCTGTATGTTTTCCTTAACGATATACCCAATTAACTCTATCTAGTACAGACAATCTTCCATTATTAATCCTATTTTAATTTAAAAATACTACCTTTCTCTTTCATTCTTCCAGTTGATATTCTAGACTTTCATTTAAAATCCCTGGATATTAATCCACACGTATAGGAGCTTTACTAGAATTGTGCTAACCCTTGTAAAGGAAGAAAAAGTTTGTAGTATTCACTCTATCAAGGAAAATCTTTTTGTTTTTCTTGAGCTCCCTCAGGAAAGCTTCCCAGATGGCTCTTCCACAGTTCTTGCTGGATTTACTCCCAGGATGTCTACCTATCAAGTCACCATCTAAACTGAAGTAGCCCCACTGAACACGTGAGTGCTAACACCAAGAACAGAATGCCATTTCTTTACAGGCCGAGAATGAGTTCTGACTATGGGACCGCAGGAACAGTTTAACAACTGATTTCCAAGGACGTAATGACAGAAGACAGCTAGAATATGTCTCTCCTGAAACTAGAGTAAACATAAAACAACAACTTCTTATATGAATTGCTGATCTGATAATAAAGGAAATCCTAGGCCAGGAGAAAAGCACAAGGACAAAGCAGAGACACAATCAGTGCAGATCCAGTGGCGGCCAAAGGGCATCTGTAGCTCTCTGGTAACCCAGAGGCTTCACCTGCAGAAAACACACTCTTCTGACGTCTACACGAACTGCTCTCCAGAAACGGCCGTGTGCTACGCCATAAACACGCCTCAACACATCTTACAGGATGGAAGTAATACCAAGTATGTCCTTAAACTGCATGGTTTACATCAGTTGACATAGTTTATTATGAAATCTGCAGAGTTCACCACTATATAGGCATGAAATACACTTCTAAGCAAGTGACGGGGAGGGAAACTGAGATAAAGAGGCTGCTACCATGTGCCAAAACTCATGGAAGGCAACTAAAACAATGTTTGGAAAGAAATGCATAGCCCTAAAATTTATGTTAAAATAGGAAGACTTCTGATCAATAATCTAAATCTAAGAACAATACTCTACAGGATCTGATACTATATACAAAGCAGTAAAATTTGAATTAAAAGTAGACTGTGACAAATTTATGATGTGTATAAATGATACAAACAAAACCTAATGATACAAACAAAACCAAAAAGGTCAGAAAGATGGTAAAAGGAGCTAAAGTACAATCATAAGTGCATTTGATAAAAATGCATATACACACATGCACTCTCTCCCCCTCTTCCTCTCTCTACTTCATTTTCATATATATATGAGAAAAGAGAACAAAGAGAGGCAAATTTTAGAAAAAGAAGTGCAAGATGATCTATCTAACCAGATCAACAGTCACTTTAAATGCTACGCAGCTAACCCAATGAAAAGACAGTCAGGCTAGGTGAGAAATGTGGTGAAATGGGAGCTCAAACATGAATGAGGGGGTCAGATAAAGATGAAGGAAGACAGCAAGTGCTTTAGACAGGTTAGCGAGCATGAAGGTCTCACTGTGGGAAGAACACTGCACGGACACAAAGAAAACCAACATGCCTGGAGAAAACTAAGTGATGGAGGAGACATAAAAACTAGTCAAAGCTGAACCAAACGAGACGAGGCTTAGTGTACATGAGAACGGCGTGTTCAAGCCGAAGCACACGCGTGGGTGGCACTGGACTACAGTGGACAGGTGTACTTTGCTCAAGACTCAAACTACAGATGCCCACTGCTCCCATGTGGCAACCGAGTACTTAAACGTGGCTAGGACATCGGAAGAACTGAGAATTCAGCTTAATTTACTTAACTTCTATTTCAACCACAGACCTATGACTTCAAACATAGGGCAGTATTTCTACTCTGGGCCTTACTGGCTGGAGACAAATGGGAGTCTATCACCAAGAGGCTATCTCCACTAAGAAACAGGGATATTACATTGATGACATAACAGATGGTCTGTTTTTTCAAAATTGATTGGAAATTCTTTTGGTTTGTGAAAACTGAGACATTACATAAATTATTAACCTGTAACAGGAAAATAAGGAAATAAAAATAAACCCACTTTATCATCTTTCCTATCTAGTATGTTCCATAAGGTCTAAATGTTAGAAACTTTTATTTTTCCACACTAAAACAAACAAAAAATCGGTTTCTTCATTATCTAATTAATCATTATATCTTTCCCATTTCATCTCATCCTTCAAATCCTTTACCCAACAAATCACTGACTGCTCACCTGAACTCCATAAAAAGTCAATTTCAAACCTTGTGTCACACCAGAGATTTCAATAGCCTGACTGGTATCTTGTTTATTTCCGACAATGACCTCAAACTCAGTGATTCATCAACAACTGCTGTAGTATGTGTGCGCGCATGTTTGTGTGTGTGAGAGAGAGACAGAGACAGAGAGAGAAGGAGATGGTAGTGGTATGGGGTCACGGATTCATTGGTTTGTCTTTGTTAGTGTTCTCTATACCTAAATTTCTCTCTTTCCAAGTTCAGGGGTGTGTGTTTTCTCATGTCTACTCACAAAGAAGCAAAACTAAACACACAGGTTCTATTGGTCTTTAATCAATGACACGTGTCTATCATGCTGTCCACAGGGTTTCCCTCACAGGGACACAAGACCACAGACGAGCACCCAGGAGAGGCAGCTGCTCTGAATCACAAATCCCAGTGTCTAACCATTCTCGGCTCTTCCGTACCTGCTTATGTGCATCCTCCCAAAAGAACGGCTGCCAACATTCTGCCTGGTTCAGCATCCTCTGATGAGCCATCTGGAAAAGTGATTCAGAGAGGTAGGTCTAGGAGAAAAGGGTGAAAGAACCATGGAGGTGACCTATAATTTCATGATACTAAAATCAGGGACTGAAACTACAACGTCAGTATTATTAAAGATGTTTCTCACACAGCACATCTAAATACTGTTCTCTCAGAAACAGCTTGTTCTACAAACTGTAAATATAAGAAAAACCCAAGGAGCCTAAGATGAGGGTTTGATATTCACAACACACTCAAGAATGCACACACCAGTGAGTATGAGGAATATGGGCTTTGCAACATGGGCTCCACACACTCACTCTTACGATCCTATCACAAGGACAGATGCTCTCTCCTGAGAGCTCAAGGGAAAGCCTTGCATCAAGATGACTCTAACAGATGCTAGAGCCCGTCTTAGCCCATGGCTCCCCATTTTGGATCTAACCCGTGAAGACACACGTAAGCATCTCCAAAAAATGCATTCCTGTATGAATCTCTCCATCTCAGAACCCTATTTTTCCTTTTATACTATAATTATAATGCTTTAGCCATGGTATCTTTTAACTTACTATATACTCTTCCTCCAGATATGAACATCTTCAGGACTGGCCTATCCATTTTTCACCTCTGAATCCCTAACAGGGTCAATCAGTGCAACCATGTGAGCAATCTGGAAGTCTAGCACGTGACTGAGTCAAATCTTCCTTTCATTTGATTAAAACATCAAAGAAAAATCTAAATTAATGGTCTAGCAACTAAAAAAACTGACTGTGATTGATTTATAATGGACTAAGGCTTTCAGTCAGAATGTGTAATTTTTTTTCTTTGTTGAGAATTCTTTCTTTAAAAAAACTAACTGAACTAAAGTGCTCAGTGACTCAGTTAATACACATTCTTGTCACCATTTGATCCAAACCTATAAATGAAGACATTTTTATAAAGAAAAGCAGAGTCAAAAGTTGGGATTAGAGAGAATAGGAGGACAATGAGGGTAAATGGGAGTGAACGTACATTATACACATGTATAAAATGCCATAGTGAAGCCCATAGTATGTGCTGAAGTGGATGGTTGCAATTAACTTGTCAACTGGACATGCTGGCTCACTCTTGGAATCTCAGCACGTGAAAGGCTGTTAGACAGAAGGTTCCACAAGTCAGGTACAGGCTAGCGTAGGCCACACAGTGCAGGCCAGAGCAGGCTACAGAGTGAGACTTTCCTCCCAAAAGAACCCTAAAAATATTAAAATTAACTTTACGATCCTCATCCTTAAACACGCATCCTTCCATAGATCCTCCCATAAAAAAAGGTTTAAAATAAAGATAGCCTATGTTCACCAGTAAAAAGAAACAGACACAAGACACTTTACAAGTTTCTTTAAAACAAAGACACATTTTTAAAAAACCTAATAAATTTTTAATTAGAATGTTTTCCTTCGTTTTTAAACAGAACAATAAACAGAATACATCAAACCAGAACTTTTCGAATACCTAATTATTATACACATTCCCATCTGTCTTACGGGGAGGACTCTTGGTCGGCTTAAAGAGTTCCAGGTAAAATAGGCTGCATAATAGTATATATTACAATAATAAATGTACAATGTTTACATGAAATATATCTGAGAAGCAAGAAAAAGATGCATCTGCATCAAAAGGTGACCTGTTTAAATGCCACAACTATTTTTTTTTACATTCACTCTTGCAACAGGTTACAAGATGGGGTCACTAAGCTCAAATAAATCACTATGATGCACATAAAATACAGAAAGATTGGTTACTTTATATATTATATATTTATATTTTAACATGTTAGCATCTCAGACATAGATTGAGAATTTAAAATTTATTCTCTTCTGATAACAAATCCTTTATTCTTCATAAACATGGTGCCCACAAAAGCACACAGGTAAGGCACAAAGGGTTTTCTGTTACAGAATAGTGTGCATCATGTTTACTTAGCCAGAAAAACGTGCATTATCTGTGCAAGTTCATGCTGCAAACCCAACACATATACAACAAAAAGAAAATGGAACAAAAACCTAAAACAAAAATTAAGATTTGTGTAATTCCAGCTGTTTCATATATTCATTTGGACTGACAATGATATATCCAGCAGGTTATTTTTCAAAAAGCCAATTTTAAACTTTGATCAGTAATTATTTTGATCTGAAATCATAAACAGTAATAAAGTAGCTTTACTGAATCAAACACTGAGGCACAAACCAATGGTCACTCGTGCATTTTCTATACTGCAGACTTTCATGGCCCAACATTCTAAGGATAATTTATCTAATACATTTTGCTGCAGCAATGCACCCTGTTTTACACTGGACATGAACAGGAGCCTAACACTTCTTTAAGCTATACACAGACTGTCATATGACATAATCCCAATGGTACTGTCACAGCCCCAGGATTTATAATAAATACAGCTTTTCACAAAATATTTTTCCAGTATCTGCCAATTGCTTCTTTATTGCTCACATAAATTTGAACTCATTACAACTGGTGCCAGAACTTTCACACAAAATCATACTCAGGTACTTTTATATAAAATCTATAAAAGGTATTTTAAACATGTATCTAATACTTCCAGGTATTTGGCTGTTTGATCATCTATGACAGTACAGCCTTATGGATATATCTGTGTGGCTATGTACATATGTACATAAACACACAGCTATGCACATATATACACAGATTAGATTATGAATAAAATAGAAAGCTTATTTTACTGCTAATGCAGACATTCTCACAAAACAAGACTTTTACTACCATCAGCATTTATACATATATACAAAAGCCAGTTTAAGTACATGAACATCCACTTACACATGTATGTAACCATTAAAACCAAATAAATTTCCCCATATTCCAGCTGCAGCAAATGAATCTCTTACAAGCAAGAGACCTAAGGTTAAAGTGGGAAAGGAGCAGTTTTACCACAGTAGCCTGTAAGCAACTATGCAGCTGACTGTATACAAAAATTCACATTAATTCACAAATTATGGAAATACAAAAAGCTGCTTCGCCATGCTTGTGTGGTTATCTAAACACTTCTTGGTGCAAAAATATAACCACCATCTCTGAAACGCTTAATATAAAGCCAGTGTTCCTCATGCACAACTGTAATGCATTGGCTTAACTGAGCTCCAAAAACTGAATAAAACAATTATTCTACCTACTCAGCATTGCTGCCTCACCGCTAAATCCCTTTGGAACCTTAAGATTTCTGTAACTTTCAAACAGCTGTCTTCAGCAATAAAAATATTACATACAAAAAGCATTTTAAAAGGAAGACGGAAGCCAAACGGGAATTTTCCTATTTAAATAACAGTCCTAGGAGTGAAGAAATCTTTTCAGGAACTTCCTTGAGAATTGGCTAGGCCCGTCCGAAGGCGCAGATGAGACATAGAGTTCATATGCTTATTTGATGGCTTCAAGGGCGTGTTGCACGTGAGAGCCTGGGGAAAGCGGTGGTGGTACCTATCTAGTCGTAAGTATTTGACTGTAACCAATTTCCCTGTTGTAAGATAAAAACAGGATTTTAGATCTGTAAAATTACACTTAGCATTTGTAGAAAATTAACTGTGGTAAAGACTGAACACAAAATAAAATCATTTAAAATTATTATTCAAAAAATAACCTAAAATTTGTTTATTTGAAATCAGGCATAATCTATCCTTTCCAAGTCTTTGTAATACTCAAATTTCTTACCATCAAACCAAGAGCCATGCAATGCTTTAAAAGCCTTCCCAGCATATTCTGGAGAGAGACATTTAACATATACACAGCCCTGTGACATGAACAGAAAACAGAGACAGAACAATTTTAGTGTAATTGCAACAGATCCCAAATTCCATACTTAATATTAGACACTACTTTACCTCACGTGAATTTTTGTCTACTGCAATATGAACAATGCCATCATTATCGCTGCATTTTTCTAAAATTGCTTCTTGAATTGCCAAATGCCATTGATCTCCTATTTCCCTGAAAGTAAGAGAAATAACATCAACGACGCTCTCCTACGCTGTCTCACACTAGTGCATAACAAGGAGCTCAGGTCTTGTGGATGTCTGTGTACTGTGTACTTGAAAGTTGTTTCCTCTCTTTCCCCAGGCTAATGCTAATACTAGAGTTGTAACAGTTGATACTATTGTCTTTATTGTGGGTAACATTTTCGAATTTCCTAACTTATTTCTTAATATAAACCCTACATTCCAAGCTTCTCTTTCCCAGAAGAAAAGCGCCACAGGCAAACGTGGTGCCCAGTCATGCCACCTTGACAAGAGCTTCCAGAACACGTGCTGCAGTAACATGCTCACCTGTCTCACTGTGGGGGAGCCACAGATGGTACAGCAAAAGCAAAAGCAATTCACCTTAAATCTGTCCAATACAATAAAATGCTGGACTGGCACTGATTCCCTACTTACTAAGCATGCAGAAGATTCCATTTGGAAGTATCATTGCACTGCTAAAAGCAAAACAGAGAGTGTGTCTACAGTGACAGTGCTTTCCTACATTTGATACATTCTGGTATTACTTACTTCGAATCCCACCATTAAAATCAAAACTCAGTGACGATCACAACATATTATTTTTCATAAAACACAGATTTGGAAAAAAGCCCCCTCTTCTAGCTGAAGAGCTATTGACAGCTGATGGTTTCTGGAGCAGGAAGAGTCAGTCCTTTTTAAAGGGCATGGTCTTCGCAGGTTTACTCCACTCCAGTGGATAGCTCCATAACCACGAGCAGATAGTTGGGAGGAGGTGGGGAATAGGAGTAGATCTGGGAGGAGTTAGGGAGAGGGGATAAGGGGTGAATATAATCAAAACACACTGTGTATGTGTGTGTATATATATATATATATATATATATATATATATATATATATATATATATATATATGTGTGTGTGTATGTATGTATATATATATATATAAATAATATATTCTTAAAGAATATATTATATTAAAAGAAAATTTAAAAAAAGGAAGATTTTATCTGTCATATCATTAACAGCTAAGCAATAGCTTTTACAAACCAACTCCAAAAATGATTACAACCTATAAGTAAAATATATGAGAAAGATGGTTCTGTGGGTAAGAGTTATTGCTCTATAAGTATGAGGATCCGAGTTCAAATCTCTAGAACTTTCTAAAAAGCTGGGCATGGCTGCTTATTCCTATAACCCAGCATGTGGAATGCAGAGACAAGCAGATCCCTAAAGCTTGCGGAACACACAGCCTAACAGAAACAACACTTAAATTTAGTGAGAGACCCATGCATGGAAACACGCACACACATACACACACGTAAATATGCATTCTAAGGTAGTAGATCCTGACTTTGCCATTCACTGGATGTGCACTGTGATGATTATGTTGTCAGAAAAGTTTCTCAAATATTATATTAATAAGTATAATAAAAATATTAAAAAGTGTGAACATAGGCTTTTGTTTTCTTTTTTTGTTTGTTTTTACAGAGACTAGAAATCTTTGTAGGATTAGACAGCCTACTGAGGTAAAACTGTGAACAATTACATATAAGATAAATGTTGCATTTAGTAAAGGGCATTATTTGTTATTAATCTATCTGCATGCATTTATCTGTTTTGAGGATTCACACCTAATAGAGAGATTTGTAAGCATTTTAGAAATGCTTGTTTCTGTCATAAGTCAAACCTTTGCTCGGAATTTAACAAAAGGGAAAAAAACATAACACTGATAGCTAGAAACAAACAAAAAGAACTTTTCAATTAGACACACAGCATAATAGAAACACCAAGCATTTTATACCCAAATATTCCAAAAAAGTTAACACATGTGCCTGGTTGTGATACTTACATAACTGGGTCAAACATATTTCGAATCTTTAAACATGGTGTCAAACTATTGGGTGGTGAATTTCTTCTATCTAAATGAAATGCTACAAAAGAAATTAACTGTATTACTTGCAATTGTTTAATTTTGTTAAAAGACAATCATTTAGTTCATTAAAAAATATATACTTATTGTATGCAGTTAATGAGCCAGTTCCTGCGTTAAGGTGGACTAAAACAGTAATTAGTATCTAGAGTCAATAGTTCGGTGGGAGAAAGAGTTATCTTTAAGGGGGATTAGAGTTTGCTAAACTCTTAAAAAAAGAAAAAAAGGAAGGAGACTATAACATCACCTCATCAGTGTAAAATAAGATTTCCCCAAAGAAGTGAAACCACTTCTGAGAGCTGAAGACTGCATTAAAGCAGCGGGGATGGGGACGGTAAGTCCACAGGACATTTCAGGTGGAGATAGGACCTTTGTACACGGTCCTGAGACTAGAAGGCAAATTTTATATTCAAGTAACTGAAAATCAATGAGTGTGGCTACAATAGAACAAAGGAAAGATGAGGCTGGAAAAGGAGAAGTCAGATTATTCAAGACTGTGTTGTCACATAAATGTATCCCAATGTCTTAGAGTAATATAAAAGCACACAAATTAAGTAGAATATGTATCCCAATGTCTGAGAGTAATACAAAAGCACACAATTTAAGTAGAGGAGTCACATAACAAGATCTATCTTTAAATATTAAAAAAAATAAATAAATAAAGTAATTGTGTGGAAAAATCAATGAGGCAATGTGAATTTAAGACTAGTCAGGCTATTTGTTGTCTAAGAGGGCCACGGCAGTGACGTGGAAAAGTTAGGCCAACAGAGAAGTGACTAGGGGGATACGTGGCACACCTGTGCAAGGACTGAATAAGAAGAGATAAAGAAAAGACTGAGGATGACTGCTAAGGAACAGTACTATTAACCATACTAATGACTTTGGAAAGAGACACAGTGAATTTACACTCATGTCTATGTGTAGTGCTCATCTCCTAGAAAGGAAGATGAGTTTTTTTCAGGGTACAAAAGTCAACTTAAGACAGTAGCATGAATGCAAGATACAAACATGACAGTTATTGTATGTAAATGAAATGAAAGCACAGCATAAGAAAGTAAATTAAAAAAGAAAACAAGGCAGCTTTGAGAAACAGCAATACCTAGAAGGCCAGGAAAAGAGGAACTAGAAGTAGAAGAGAGCATGGGAGACAACCATGACTAGAAAAGAAGATCTGAGCAGGAGAAAAATCAGGGAAAAGGTGCTACTGTCAGAGCCCACAGTGAAAGCTTGAAGAACAGCTCAGCTGCCAGACAAAGGTAAGTCATGTGAAATCAGTTATTTTGTTTCTAGTTAACAGAGTCCCTCCCCAGGCAACTTTCCAAGGAAATAATTTGCTCTTAGTATTTCAAACAGTAAAGAACATTTTTGTAATTGAAAAAAAAAAAAAAAGTTTTTGTTTGACATATTCTGGTTATGCTTTTCCCTCCCTCAACTCCTCCTCTTCACCCCCACCCCTCCCTGCAACTCCATAATTAAAGTCTATTAAATAATAGTTTTTAAAAGTAAAATAATTAGAGGGAAAAAAATGAAATGACCCTATTTTTAAAATTGCAATTCTAAAACACTTCACTTACCTCTTCTCTGACTACTATGTTTAGCAACTATTAATAAACATGATTTGGTAGGAAAGATTTATTATTCATAACTCTCTTATATAGTGTTTTACATGCTTCTCTTGTAGAGCAGATACAGGCACATATGACAGCCAATCTTCAAAGTTCCTTATATATTTTATTACACCTCTTTTGAAACTACACATACTATTTAGAAAACCATGTAATGACAGCTACAAAAGACATCTGTAAGGGGTAATACTCAGGTAAAGGGGTCTTAGAAATAGAAGGAAGGTGATAAAAACTAGAACACAGAATATTAAAGTCATGGTTCCATACACATACTTAATATGTATTGAATACATATTAACAATGCTTGTAATAACATAGCAAAGATTCTATGTGTTTGACAAGAAGAATGCAGTTAGAGCTATAATCCTAAGTTGCTTCATTAAACAAAAAAGGCAAGATCAAAGGAACATTTGTGTTTATTACAGTATAGACAACCAGTTCTAATTCTATCTATTTTACTAGGGGGTATACCTGTAAAGGGAATGTTTGCATTCAAATATTTTCTAATTAAACATAGTATATTTTGAAAAACTGGGATAAAATCTTTGGCTTTTGCTTAAAAGCACATACCTTGACCTTGCCATACTTTAGAAGGTATAACTAATGTCTTATCACAGGGTGCAGAAGGCTGGATCCACCGCCAGACGAGAAAATCAGCACCACCTATTCTTCGTGTCTCTGTGCGCACTCGAGATTCATTCGCAGCAAGAAAGTCAACAGCTCTATCCCAGACTTTCTTCATCTTTTTCCTATCACACAAACAAAATGACAAATTTAATCTCGGCTTGTCATCTTTCGGAAATATGAGTAACTGAAGTAATGGTTTTTGTTAATGGCTAGTCTGCCTGTCACCCCTGTGTTTCTGTTTCCCATTCTCCTAGCTATTATCCCTCTTAGCAGAATTTATCTAAAGGAGGACATAGATGCCTGTGCCACACCTCAAATGTACTGAGTCTCGACCTGTAGAGGTGAGCCATGAGCACAGGCTTCCTCCGTGTCAACTCAGCATGCACTAGTGATAATGATGTGCTGCTAGACCCATTCACAATGTGGATCTGGTTTTCATTTTTCAAAATAACAACATGAGTACTTAAAATATTACTAAAAACATAACTAGCTTTTGTCTGTTTCTGTTTCGTAGTACAATGAAAATACAGGGATAAAGACTGACAAACAGGAATAGAAATATGCAGGAATGAGAATGGCCTATAAAGCGGCCATCTCATTACACAATGACATCAGGAGGGGAACAGAACTGACACTGAAAGGAGAGGGTAAAGGAGTTTAAAAGTCTATCCAGTCAAGCAGGTCTGGTTGAGGAGTCACAAGTCTCATAAAAAAAAAAAAAAAAAAA